ACATATTCTCTGGTTACTGCACCAGTTACAGGCCATGTTCGTTATGACATGTAGTTAATACTATTAGTAATCAGAGATTATGAGAGTGCGTTTGACGTCCTCAATTTAATATATATACCTTAAATAAATGATTTCACCAGATGACTTTCAACCTTTGTCTAATGCTAAAATCAACATTTTTCAGCGGCAACTGAGGTTTTACAGTCAGATATTGCATAGTGTCATCGTCCATGCTAGTGAAGAGGTCACGATTTGTTGATACGTTGCATGACGCCGCCAGTTTCTGTAGACTCAAAAGTTTCAGAGAATATTTAAATTACGTACATTATTCTAAGCTGGAAGCACAGATTTAAGCTAGCATTTGCAATCGCATGCTCGTTTATCGTAAACAAACTCTGTGCGACTAATTGGAGTATTTCCCGTGATGAATAAAGTAGACTTTTGGATCTTGCCTTCAGAGTACTTTTCCACCGATTTCAAACAATCTATAAAATTTCGACCGGATAAAGACTGTGCTATCTGTCATGACTGGAACTAATCAACAAGTGTCATTAAAATGTAGGTGTTCCCACGGTTAACATCCCAAAGCCAAGTCGTGTTAATAGACAAGGACAATTCCCTCAAATTTCGATAAATGCTACCGTCGCAGCGTTTAAATTCACCAAAATCTAACGCTGAGCACACATAATAGCGAAGCGTACGGCGACTGAGTGGAAAGAAGTCAAAGACCCAGCGGAAAGACAAGCTCACATGGCCTGCTCACATAGTCACATGTTCGTCACATGTCTTGTCACATGTCTTAGTATTAAACAGTACCAGTTTACTGGCCGTGACAGCCCCTGCAAAAATCAAGCGGGGTGGCCATTTTGTTGTCCTTTCAGGAATGTGGATTTTTCTGCGTATAACCGTGCACAGGGAAACCAACTCTAGAAAGCCACAGGTCAAAATTAGGTTTGCGTTCTTAGAACTCAATTATATTACTTTTTAATTATGTAACTACTGCTCACACTTCTTAATTTTCAAACATACTATTAGACTAGACTTTGTTTTCGTATGCTTAATATATCAGTGAGCACCCTCTTATGTTAAACAAGCTCAAAAGTAATATGAACATCAAAAGAGCTGTATACATGTACATTATGTACAACAGGGGGTGGGTACGGCTACACGTAGGCGAAGTTTTCGCGTGCTGTTCTTCAGTTTGCAAGATGTCGGACCCAAGCAGCTTTCCCTTTTGCTACCCTCCGGGCTATTTTTTTCAAAACTTTTATTAGTCATACCCGTATCGCCTGAAAGAGTGGATATATCCCGATATATGGGAATTTGAAGGGTGCCTTGCCATGCTTCGAAAGAAAGGAGCAGGAATTTTCAAAATAGTTTTTACTGGAAGGGTGGAAGAAATTTCTTTAAGAAAAGGAACAGATGGAAATTTTCTTTTTATACGGCATAAAAGATTTTATTACATAAACACCAGTGAAATACCAGGATTTTTCCTTTTACTAAAAAATCATATCTTCATCGTGTGCAGTGAAGATACTATTTTTATCTTTCACACTGAAGATATTTTTTTGATAACATTTTTCTTTTATCCCTTTACCTACACTTGAATTTGTAGATGAATGATCGAAACATCTTCCGATCTTCTTCAGTCATCGTCGGCAATCTTTGTTAATTTTCAGAAAATGTTCGGAAGCGTTTGTCTCGCCTTCAGAACAATTTTGGAAAATCTTCAGAAATCTTCAGATAGTGGACTGAAATTTCGGAAAATCGTCAAAAACGTTATCATTAGTATGTTTATATAATGAACAGAATATTACATGACCGTTTGTGGATCTGAATTTTATATTCTCGTGTTCAACTTGATATCTCACGAAAGATATTGAGTTGAACACTCGAGATAAAATTCGTATCCACGCGCGGTCATGTAGTATCCTCTTTTTATCGCCTGAAAGAGTGGATATATCCCGATATATTGAAATTTGAAAGATGCCTTGCCATGCTTCGAAGGAAAGAATCAAGAATTTTCAAAATAACTTTTTTGGATATTACTGGAAGGGTGGAAGAAATTTCTCTAAGAAAGTGAAAAAATGGAAATTTTCTTTTTATACGGCATAAAATTAGCATTGAACGTCTCAGTATTTTTAGGGCTGTCACGTGATCTATTGCGTGAGCTGGAAAATATTTTAAAACACTACAGTTTATCACACAATTCTGTAAAGAATTATTGACACAAATACATTTGTAGTATAGATGAATTTGAATGGCAAGAAGGAAAATAGCAGAATTACAGAGGGATAAAGCAACACAAACTCCTTGAGAATCTACCTTAGAAGATTCTGAGGACCTGAAAGCTACTTAAGAAATTGTTTGAAAAAGAAAACATGTTATAGACGAACATTTTTAATTTAAGAAATCAAAGTACCGATATATTTGCCATCTTTTTTTTATATAAAACCTGGAATGGGTAGACTTTACCTGCAAACTGTTTGAGCGCGTGATTTGATCCTCCCGAATCACGATCAGGGCTCACACGTTCTAAATATAGCGTAGTTTCTAGGGTCATGTAGCAACTCTTGTAAGGTCTGCAGTATGGCAAGCCAATTGTAGCAATATTCAATACCTAAATTCAATTTCAATTCAATGAAATTTAATTTCAATTCAATGAAATTCAATTTCAATTCAATGAAATTCAATTTCAATTCAATGAAA